GAGAGAGGAGAAAATGCTCAGAAGGTACAGAGAAGGCTGAGATGGGGACCTCTAAAGGAGTAGCACCCACTTCCACATCCAGATGAGATGATAAAGGACACGAACCAGTCTTATACCTTTCATTTTGTCCAGCTGGACCAAAATTATAAGCATCATGTTGCTAGTCTTCTCCTATAGGATTACCTGAGTAAGGGGTTCCTAATGGACACCCCTCAGTTGTAAGAATAGCTCTGCTGTCACATTGTTTTATAGTCATCTGCCCACTCTCTGAGAACAGTGACTTGTATCTAACTTACACCTTCCACACCTCTACCAGAGTGCCTAGCACTGGTAGGCCCTGAATACAGGATGGATGGGTAGGTGGGAAGAAACCAAGCTTCAAACCAAGCTTGGAAGAACCAAGCTTCAGTAGCTACTGGTCTCCATGTACATGTGGCTTCCTTCAGATCACCAGATTTCAGCTATGCAGAACTCAGGGAACGAGAGGCAGGGGAAGAGAGTGGAGGGAAGGGAAGGGGAGAGAGAAAGGGACTATCCACTTCTACAACAGAGTGACTGGGTGGGTGCTAGGTACGCAGCAACAGGCTTCCTGAGCAGGGCAGGGCTTGCTTGGCAAGTACTCTGAAACTATTGCCTACACTGTGACCTTTCCTCTCCAGATGGAAGCTCAGGTTTCGGCTGATGTGAGGAAGCTGTCCTGCTGTACCCAGGACTGAAAGTACATTCTCTCCCCACCATCACATGTTGCCATGGCCCAGCTGCAGAGAGAAGGGTGAGGTGGAGCCTGCAGTCATCGTTCTGAGGAGACAGAGGACACAGGCAGCCTGCCTATCCCTACCTCATTCTTAGAATTTCTTTTTATTTCTCAAAGATTCCTGTGAGGGTGAAAGGTTAAATATTAGTCAAAGGTTGGGTTCTTGTGAAGTCATAGAGATAAGGCCGAGCAGAGCAGAAGACACCAGAGCAAGGCTATTGGAAAAGTGTCCCTGTCCTTCACCTGCTCCACTCACCCTGAGAATACCACGGAGCCAAAGGAGTAAACTTTCTTCCTGACTTAAAAAGGAAAAAGACAAAAAAAAAAAAAAGGCCTGGCCTGGGAGGAGGGGATTTTGTTTTCTATCCCAGCAAGTGGTGGAAGTGGCTATATTTTACCTCTTGCTTGAGGAAGGTGGTATTTCTTTGAATTTTTCTATTCTTCCTCAAGCATTTTCTTATCATCTCCTTCCTATGCCCTTTCCTCCCTTTGGTGGAAGAGGATTTTCTTCCTGAGGTCAAGATCCTGTTCCTTACCCAAGATCCTAACCCTAACCCATCCCCAAGCCTCCTAGTTTTCATTCTCATCTTCCTTTTATAAATTGGCCTCCTCCTCTGTCCTTGGTTTTGCTTGTGTCTGCCTGAATTCCGGAGTACAGGGGCCCAGCCTTGTACCCAGACTGTCTTGGGGACCTGGGGAGAAGTTGAGATCATAGCATCAGTGATGACAGTGATTTTGGTTGGACTGTCAACAGGCACATGATCTTTACTGAATTGAGTAACATAACCAAGTGTGTATTTATTAGGATGGCTCTGCCCAGCTGGAACATTGAAGTATTTACAAAATGTTCTCTCTCTTTGGGCACTTAAAATCCTTGCTCTCAAAATATGTTTTGATTCTCCATATATGACAACATCTTGGACAAAACTCCTATACCAGAAGTCAAGAGGTTGTACTTTTGGAGTCTGTCTTTGTGCTGACTCTGTGGAAGTTACCTCTGTCACTCTGTTTTGTTATTATTGTTGCTGTTTTAGGGGGCAGTTTTTTGTTGTGTTTTGTTTTTGGTTTTGTTTTTGTTTTTTGAGACAGCGTCTCACTGTATAGTTCAGGCTGGGTTTGAACTCACTTTGTAGCCCATATTGGTCTCAAACTCATAGTGATCCTATCTCAGCCTCCACAGTGCTGGGAGAAAGTTTCCTCTTTGATTCCATGAAACAAATTGGATTGTTTCTCTTGTCAGTGCGATTCCTGAGGAGTATGGAATGTGTAGATTGAAGCACTAATAGATTATGGCATTTTATTTTTTGTTCTGTTTAGGGTCTTTGTTTTACTCTTATTTTTTTATTTTGTTTTTGTGTTTTGTTTTAGTTGAGATGGGGTCTTGCTAAGTAGCCCAGGCTGGCCTGGAACTCACCATCTAGCCCAGGCTGGCCTCAAACTTATGATCCTCCTGCTTCAGCCTGCCAAGCACTGAGATTATAGGTGTATACCATCATTGCCAGATGCGTTTTACTTACTAAATATTTATTGAGTACCTACTATTATCAGGCGCTGGTAATATGCCCTAGGATTAAAAACATGAAAAAGTTAAAGGCTCTATTCCCTTAGTCTACAAGTGAAGAAGAAAAAATGAAACCTAACCTCTCATTTTGTTATTTATTTATTAATTACTGCTGGGTATGGACCAGGGTCCCATGCATGCTGGACACATACCCTGCCACTGAGCTATACTCTCAACCCCATTTTTTTTTTTTTTTTTTTTTTTTTTTTTTTTTTTGTAGCGGGAATCAAACTCATGACCTCACACTTGCCAGATAGGTGCTTACACCCCTGAGCTAAATCCCCAACCCATTCTAATCATTTTAATACAAAGAAATGAGTACCATAATTAGATATAGACAAAGTGGTCTGCGTTTACACTAGTTTGAAAAGATAAACTTTGCACCTTGTCTGTTGAATTTGCCTGATGTATCTTACCTTGTATACACATTGTTAGAAATAAATAAAATTATGAAGTTTCATGAAACAGGTGACATTTGAGCTGGATCTTGAAAAATGAGAAGTTTATCAAGTAGAAATAGTGTAAGAGAAGAAAACTACAGATGGATATAATGTCAGGACCTTCCTATGCTGCTGAAATATTCTTAGTATCAAGTAAAGCTGGAAAATATCTTGAATGTAAAAGTACAGCTGAAGGATAATGTATTGAAATAATTTTTTTTTGGTGCCGGGGATCGAACTCATGACCTCGCACTTACCAGGCAGGCACTTAAGCCACTGAGCTAAATCCCCAGCCATACTGAAATAATTTAATCAGTCATTCATGTGACATCAGAGCCCTGGAGGCTTGGGATCTCTTGTTTTTATATGATGTGCATCTTATATGTGTACTAGGCTGTGTCCTGGCCACCTTATTAGGAAAGGGGGAAAAAGAGGGACTTATTTTTTCTTCTTTATTTTCAAGCACTTCATCACCATCAGTGGGTTGGTTGGACAGAGAGAGTATCAGTAAAGTAGACAAAGCTTCTCCTAGCATTTAGCCTCCAAACCCTCCTCCAGCCTGCACAGGCCCTGTGCTGTTGGAATCTCTGTGGGAGCCTTGTGACTGTGAGGAGGTTAAGTTGAAAGACCCCATCCCACAAAAGAAGATGTCAGATAGATGCCAGATAAACACATGACACCTTGCTCAACAGCATTAGTCATTAGAAGATTGCAAGTCAAAACCACAGTGAAATGCTGCACACCTAGGAGAACTGCCAGATTTTTTTTTTTTTAATGGACATTGCCAAGTGTTAACAAGGATACGGAGCCATTTATCATGCATTGCTGGAGGGATTGTAAAATTATATAGCCACTTTGGGAAGCAGTTTGATGTTTCTGATAAAGTTACATGTACATTTATCATATGACCAGAATCCTATTTCTGGGTACTTTTTACTCAAAAGAAATGAAAACTCTCTACAATCAAGTTAAAAACTTTCATGCAAGTCCTTATAGCAACTTTGTCATGTAAGAACCCAGCATTGGAAGCATTCTACAAGAATGAAAAAATAATTGATGCACCCATATATTGAAATAATGTTTTTTGTTTGTTTGTTTGTTTGTTTATCAGTACCGGGGATCGAACTCATGACTGCCTGCTTGCAAGGCAGATGCTTATGCCACTGAGCTAAATCCCCAGCTCCGAAATAATGATTTTAACAATGAAAAAAAAAACCTAACTACTAACCTGTACAACAACATGAATAGATTTCAAACCATTATATTAAGAGGCAAGATGCGGGCTGGGGATTTAGCTCAGCGGCATAAGCGCCTGCCTTGTAAGCAGGCAGTCGTGAGTTCGATCCCCGGTACTGATAAAAAAAAAAGGAAAAAAAAAAAAAAAAAAAAGAGGCAAGATGCAAAAGTTTACATAATCTATGATTTCACTTATGCACCAAACACAAAACTATAAGGAGAGAAATCAAATTAGTGGTTATCAGAAGTAAGGAAAGAAGATTGACTGAGTACAGAGGGACATAACATATAGACAACTTTTTGTAGTGTTGAAAATGTTCCATATATTGAGTATGGTAGTGATTATGCCATTAAATATATTTATCAAGTCTCACCTTTAAAAAGATGACTGTTTACCAAATGTAGATTATATCTTGAAAAACCTAAGGAACAAAAGAGCATCTTTTAGTCATTAGAACATTGCAAGTCAAAATTACAGTGCAATGCTACACCTGACCTCTGTCGTCACAAAATCAGCTCAGGAAGGTAATGTCCAAGATTTACCAGCTGCTCAGGGCTTCAGCTGCACAGATAGTGATTTGGAAACCAAGCCTGTACGCTCGTCCTAATCAGATGCTGACTTGTCTCCCCTTCAAGCCAGTTCTCATCTGCTTCTGGCTTCCAGCCCTGTCAACCACGCTCTGACCAAGCTCTAATTTGGGGCATGTAATCCCTATTTGTAACCTGTCAATGGAACCAAGGTTTCTGGTCACTGGGGCTGAGTTTTTGTTTTTTTTTTTTTTAATCAGTACCAGGGATCGAACTCACAACTGCCTGCTTGCAAGGCAGGCGCTTATGCCACTGAGCTAAAGCCCCAACCCTGGGGCTGAGTTTATGAGACTTTTGGCTGTCTTGTTACAATCACATCATCAAGAACAAGCAGCACTTGTGTTTCTGTGCAGGGCCACATGCAGTGAGCATCCTGCACTCACATGCTCCTGAGGCCCTCTCTGGGGTTCTGTCATTTCAGTGCTCCTCACATGGGTCAACTGTTCCAGTGTGCGATGGGCTACCCGGGTTCAAGACATCTTTACAGCTGGGAAGCTTCTGGCTCTGGCCCTGATCATCATCATGGGGATTGTACAGATATGCAAAGGTGAGTGTCACGGAAGGAATAGAGTCCCACATAGCTTTCTACCTCTTGCACATTCAGTCCCTGAGGTTTCCAGGTTCTGCCATTGACAAGTTCTTTTTTTTTTTTTTTGAAACTGGGGATCGAACTCAGGACCTCACACTTGCCAGGCAGGCGCTTATGCCACTGAGCTAAATCCCTGGCCCTTAGATTCTGCCATTGAGAGCACTCTTCTTCCCTTGCTTATCTAAGGGTATGAGAAACTGTATTTGCCAGAGTGGTTGAGGGGAAGGAATCTACCCCATAGCTTGTTAAGTTTGTCTCCCCATGCTTGCCTCTTGGCTATGAAACAGCTAAGTATAGAACCTAGACCTCTGGATGCTATTGCCATTTTGCCTCAAATTTAGAGATGCTCTAGATATCTATCATATCTTGTCTGTATCTGAAAATGGAGAACAAAGCAGGAGAATGTTCTGTGTTTCAAAATTACTCATCTCTGAAGAAAGAGTTCTACATTCCTGGGGTGCCTGCCAACATTCCCTGCTGGATTTGGTCTTTTCCAAGCCTAAGCCTGTATTTGGTTTCCATGGGACCCATGCACACCAAGCTCTGCTCAGCATCTCAGCCTTGCAGAGAAAATAAGATGAGAGAGGGACCTCCCACCTGCCCTTAGGCCCTGAAGGCAGTATGGGAAATCTGAATTTTTGTTGAAGAAACAAGTTTCTGCTATATAAGTGCCTCCTTATTTTAATCCATTAGATTAAATCATTTATCAAGTTATATTGTTTTCAGGAACTTAAATGTAAGGAAATCTCTCTACTGTCTTTTCAGAGACAGTGAGTTTCTCCTAACCTGGTCTCAACTGTTTTCTCCTGATCACACTAATTGTATTTCCTGTCCAAATGCTTGGTTACAAATGAATAAATAATATAGTGTTAGTTACACTCTTATCTCATCACAATCTCAACGAGATCCCTCTTCAAGAGCACCAGCGTTGGAACACAGGGCCTCACACGTGGGAAGCCATTGCTCTACCACTGAGCTACCCCTGCATTCCAGCACCCTGTTCTGAGAGCCCACTGTATGTAAGGCACTGTGCTAAGTACTGAGAATGTAATTCAAAGACTCCTTACTAAGAACCCTGAAAAGAAAACTACACAGCTTAATAGACAAAGCAAACAAAACAAGCTGGAACTAGTATAACATAGAAGCTTTCATCTGAATGTGTTGTTCTTGATGCTTTCCTCATGGAAATGCACAGATTTAAATATCAGGAAGGTGATCAAAAGACTGCAAGTGACTCTAGTCCCACATTTCCAAAGCCCAGCAAGCCAACATCCCCATGTATCATAGTCCTTCCTTCCAAGTAACTTTGCCCTTTAAAAAAGGAACACTGCCATGTATAGGAACCTAACACCCTCAGTTAATGTAAACATTATGTGCCATTAACATGAGCTGAATAATGTCAATAAAAATGAAAAATGGGATACCAAATTGGAGGAGGTGGAGGGATGGGAAAGGGGATTTAAAAAAAAAAAAAACTTGGTATGTACATGAAACCGCTCCCCAAGATGATTATAAGCTACATGAACTCCAAACATGTACTAATAAAGTAAAAAAAAAATTTAGAACTGTACTTTGAACTTGAACCCCCTTTGAACTCATGGTTATGAGGCACCAGGAGGTCCCTAAAAGTGGATTTCTCTGCCCCAGTTAGCCTTGCTTCTCCAGTAGGATGGGTTCACTAAGGCCAAGCAAAGCGGCATGGAGGGAGCTCCACTCCCTGAGCAGCATCCTGTCTCTTGTGTCCACAGGCGAATACTTCTGGTTGGAGCCAAAGAATGCCTTTGAGAATTTCCAAGAACCCGACATCGGCCTCATTGCACTGGCTTTCCTTCAGGGCTCCTTTGCCTATGGAGGCTGGAACTTTCTTAATTATGTGACCGAGGAACTTGTTGACCCCTACAAGTGAGTTGAAGTAGCCCAGTTCTTCCCCTCACTCTTGAAAGCCCATAATGCCTCCCATTGGAAAAGGGGGCGGGTGTGCTCTGCTCACTTCTCGCCCCCATTCTGACCCTCTTCTGGTTTATCCTGAAGTAATAGTTCATTTCTCAGGAACTTAAAACATTTGCCATCCACCCTGCCAGGAGGCGAGAAAGTGTCCTGTGACCTTCTCAGAACAGCTTAAAAGCAGAAAACTGCTGAATAACCACAGCCTTAGCAAGTGACCTGTGTCCCACAAGGCCTCCATCCTGTTTTCAGGAAGGCCAGTTCTTGTGTCTTGAGGCAGATGGAAAAGTGCATGGTAGAGATCTGGGTGAAAAACACATCAGCAGGTATGGAGCATATTTCTAGGCTAGCCTGTTGCATTACTTTTAATTACCCTGCCCCAATTAGATAAAACCCACCTCCTATGTAAAGGAAACACTGCTCAGTTGCAAGGCGAGCCTCATGCAGACCCCATGGCAAAGTAGCACCCTGGACACGGGCCTCCTTCTCACCTCCTCTCCCTCTACAGGAACCTTCCTAGAGCCATCTTCATCTCCATTCCACTGGTCACATTTGTGTATGTCTTTGCCAATGTTGCGTATGTCACTGCAATGTCCCCCCAGGAGCTGCTGGCATCAAACGCAGTCGCTGTGGTAAGAAATCAAGCCCAGAATGTTGACATAGATTTGCCTGTTTAGCCCCACTCACTTTTCCCTGATCCCTGGGTTTGTGGGATTGTAACCATCCCCAAGTCCTCGGTGCAGAATCCATGTGTGTTCTCATCACAGGATTCTCGAGTGCCCAGGAGCAAACTGATAGCTGGGTTATACCCAGAGAAGCTACCATGTAGAACTGAGCAGTTGCCATTGAATCTGCATGGCCCGAGAAGCAGAGACACAAAGTATCTGACCCTTTACAGAACAAGCGTGCTGGGCACTTTAACTCTGAAGTATGAGTCTTGCATTAAGGAGACAGCTTCTCACAAACATAGAGCATCACACAGGGCACACCACATCTCCCTGCCTCTGTTTCCTCTCTGGGGAGAAGCTGACTGCTCATCAGGGAAAAGTGGGTGCTAGTAAACAGCTCAGGATTGGAACAGATTATGCTCTTTGGGGAAAGATTATGCAGACCCAGGGGGCTGGGGCCCTGGGCACTTGGGGAAGACCTAGGAGCCCTGCTGCTCTCTCAGTCTGGACCACGACCCCTCCTGCCAGACAATGTCCTCACTGCGTCATCTCTAAGAACATGAAGAAAGCACCCTGCCATCACCCCTGGCAGCATGTTCCTGTGACTGACAGCCTTCTCCAGCAGGACAGCTATGTTAGACCACCCCTCTCCAGTTGTGTGCTGTGAAGCTGGCTTAGAGCATACAGAGAGGGCTAAGTCCCCGCATTTTTTAATCCCTGAGTACATGAGGACTTATCTATAGCTTCACAACCTTGTCTTTCGCAGCTAAAGTAGTGGCTGGTTCTGATTTTCTGCAGCATAATGTTCCTGTGAATGTAAAAATTTTTATCCTGTGAATTGAGTCATACCTGTTTTATAGATGAAAAACCAAGACCTAAAAATTATGAAACCCCAACACTCAGGAGGCTGAAGCAAAAAAAACATGAATTCAAAGCCCACATAGACTATATATACTGTCTGAAGAAAATAATAGTAATAATAATAATAACAACAAAGACTACAACTACAAACCAGGGGCTGGGAATGCTGCCCTGCAGTATAACATGCAACAGGCCCTAGGTTCAGTTTCTCTGAACCACAGTGGACTGAGTGTGGAGCATTTACAAGCCTTCTCAAGGTGGAGATAGGACTTGAACCCAGAACTGCCTTACTCACAAGTGTGAAGATTATGTTGTGTACCTGGGGCCTGAATTTACACCACCTGGCCTCCAATCCTGGGCCTGCAATCTGAGATGAGTCACCTAATCACTTCGCCACAGTCTCCTCATCCCTAAACAAGGGTAATAGCTAGCTAGTTAGTGTTATCATGAGCAGTGTACACTCTCTTCAGTTACTTTCTCTGAGCCTGTGCAGTTATTCCTGTGGATGCAGTGGCATGGGTGGGGCCGAGAGAATCAACAGGAGACAGGTCTTCTGGCAGCAATGAGCAGGCTGAAGGTGAAGACTGCAGCTCACCTTTTCCACTTAACCCTTTTGTTTTACCCTCCCAGACATTTGGAGAGAAGCTCCTAGGGGTCATGGCTTGGATCATGCCCATTTCTGTTGCTCTGTCCACATTTGGAGGAGTTAATGGGTCTCTCTTCACCTCCTCCAGGTAAGTGCGGCCTGGGCCCTTCTGTGGCTGGGGTGGCTCTGTGTGTATGTGCCTGGCTTGTCTGTGTGTGTGGAGGCCTGTGTGGGGTCCCGGACAGTGGCTTTGCTGAGGTATGTGTGTCGGTGTCAGTGCTGAGGGCCCGCACCACTCACCTGCTCTGTGTACAGTGTCCTAACGCTTCACGTGCGTGTCCAGCTTGTTTCAGAAGAGCAGAAGGCTGCTGTTGGTAGCAGGACTGTGTCTTGGCTACAGGCCTACAGCCCCCTTTCCACTCCTCTGGACACGGGCTGCTGCTGTTTGGGAAAGAATCCTTCTCTGCAAGGGACCAGAAGGGAGTCTCTACCTGGGGCCGCTGGAGCCGACCTTTCATGAATATTTGGGAATCAGACTATATGTGGGTTGGGTTCACACTGAAGGCCCTGAGAATGCAAGACTGCTCTCTGCTCAAAGGCAGACACTGTCACAGCCCTCCATGAGACAGGTGGAAAATGTGAAGTGAGAGGCTAGGGAAGCATGGAAAGAAAGCATTTGCCAGTGAAAGCCTTTCAGCCGGAACTCTCTGGAAGCCAGAGCATGAGTATGTCCTAGAGCTCCCCATACTGCTCCACACCTCCAGGGATCTGATCTCCCATCCCTGTCCCTTCCTGCCACCCCCAGAATGTTGTGTTGAGGCCAGTAGATGGATGCTGAATGGTTTCCATCTGTGTAGTCCAGGGAGTCTACCCAGGTTCTAGAAAGCCCCTTGCCCTGGGGGCACAGCTCTACTCAACTGCTTCCAAAGGAAGCACTGAAAGGAAGAGTTATCACTGAAAGGAAGAGTTTCTGTGAACGACAAGGAACTACTGTGTTTTCTGTATCTAGGGCAGCAGAGAGGTATGTGGCTGCCCCCATGCCCAGGACCTGGACCCTGGGAGACTCATCCGCAGCAACCTCGTGTGTGTGTGTTACACAGGCTCCTGGTCCCCTCGAAGCCCCAGCTGAGGGCAAGTGGTGGAAGCTGAGTGACCCAGGAGGCCCCCTGGCATCTATGGAGGGTGTAGCTCTAGAGCAGGGTTCGTCTCTCAGGCAGGCCATGCCATGGTCTGTGCATGTGGTTTAGCTGCGTGTGCATGCAGGACACAGTGGTATGTGCTGTGCTCAGCCTCTGATTCAGAGGCACGACCTCACCCACCCATCCTCCTCCACTCATCTTCCAGTTCCTTCTTTCTTTCCTCCGTCTTCACTTTTTGATGCTCTGGGGAGTGGAGAAGGTGATCTTCCCCTAGGAATCTTAAGTGTGCATGGGTATGTGTTCTGCTAAGTGTAATTGTCTCCTCTGTTGTCAGCTAGCTGGATAAGGATTGTTTCTTTTGAACTTGACACTTGCAAGTGCTGTCGGACAGTTATACTTGGTCCTGGCTGCATTTGGAGGAGGCATGTAAATGGGGGACCCTGGCTGTGTTGCATGTGGAGGCCCACAGAGCACCTGGGCTCAGTCTATTTTTTTTTAATTCTTTTTGTGGGGTCAGTCTAGTGCATGAGGCTGCATTGTAAGGACAGTGGCATGGGGTAGGGGCAGGAATATGTGCGTCTGCATGAACCTCCGGTAGTGACACTGCCCTAGGTAGTTCATGATGGGCCACTGCTTATGGATACTTGGAGCCAATCCCCACACTTCAGACATGCTGCCACTACTCCACACACCCATTGCAAAGTAAATGGCAGCTCTTTTCAGAACTCCTAGTGTACTAAAGCTGTGGATTTCTGCCCTCCTCACACCATCCTGTTTCTTCCCTTAAGCATTTCTTTTCCTAGAAAAAACAAAAAGTGGTCTATTTTGCACTAATACATAGATGACAACAGTTTATTGTATTTTGTCTTGAAAGAGGGAAAGGAAGTGGTTGTGTGTGTGTGTGTGTGTGTGTGTGCGCGCGTGTGAAAGAGAGAGGCTGGCTGCTTTTCATGTTATAATTTCTCTTTTTTTCTCTGTGTGTGTGCATGCATATGAATGTTTATATATGTATTGAGTATCTGTAAAATGTTTTGACACAGAGTCTTCTAACATAGTCTGCACTGGCCTTGAACTCATTGCCCTCAGCTTCTTGAGTGCTGAAATTATAAAGCATGTGCTACCTCATGTGGCTTATGATCTCTCTCTCTCTCTCTCTCTCTCTCGTTTTCTTTTTGTTTGTTTTGTTGGTTGGTTGGTTTTGTTCTGGGACAGAATCTCTCTGTATAGATCAGGCTGACCTTGAACTTGTGGTGATCCTACCTCAGTCTTCCAAGATGCTGAGATTATAGATGTGCATCATCACACCCAGCCAATTTCTCTTAGGACTGGGCATGGTGGCAGGCACCTGTAATCTCAGCATTGGGGCAACACTTCAGGGAAAACTGGGGCAGAAGGACTGAAAGTTTGAGGGCAATCTGGGCTATATAGTGAGTTCCAGGCCAGCCAGGGGCTACATGACAAAACTCTATCTCGGTCCTTTTTAATTTTTTGAGAGAAAGTCTTGATAAGTTGCTAAATTGCCCAGGCTGGATTCAAACTTGCCCTCCTCCTGCTTCAGTCTCCTAGAGATGTGTGCCACCATACCTGACAACAATAAAACCTTTAAATATCAATATCCTATTTGGGATATTATACTGTAATTTGCAGTGTACTGATGGAAGAAACTGAGTAAGGGTACATAAGAAAGATCTCCCTGCAGTATTTTTTTAATTATATGAGAATGTTTTTCTCTATAAAAAGCTTAACTTTTTAGAAAAAGTTAAGACTAATTATCTGTCCTGGTTATAAATGTCCTGTTTCAGAGGCTGAGGTATAGTTTAGTGGTAGAACTCATGTGTAGCATGCACAAGACCCTGGACTCAGAATAAATTTATTTTTCTATAAAATATTAGGGAGGAAATTAAAGTTACTCATAACACCACCACCCAAGATTTTAGTGGAGCACTTTAGTGTGTGTTTTTTTTTACATGCTCATAAAAATGTTTCAGTTAATTAGCATCACAGTTTCTATCCTAATTCTTCTTTGTTTTTCTTTTTGAGACTGGGTTTTGCTATGCAGTTCGGGCTGCCTTGAACTGGTTTTTCAGCCCAGCTGGCCTCAGCCTCCTAAATGCTGGGATTACAGGTGTGAGCCACCACACCTGGTTTATCCTGATTCTTCATTTAACATTATGTTGTGAGCATGTTCTCATGTAATCAATACTTTTCAAAAACATTGTTATAACTTCATCATTTTCCATATATGGCTAGACCATAATTTATATGATCAGTCTCATCCTCTTAAGCATTTAGAGTATTTCCCATTTTTTCTTAGCATCTCTGTATACCTTTCATCAACTCTAGTCATTTCTTTGGCTTCACTTCTTGGGAACAGAGTAAGTAGCTCTGAAGTAATACATTTTTAAGTACAATCTACACACAATAAGATGAATTGATCATAGTGTTCAATTCGATGAGTTTGACAACTATAGGGAACCATGTAACTACCACCCAGTCCATCTCCACCTCTCCTCCAGGTTCCCACTGGCCCGTACACCCTGTGCCTAAATCTGAGTACCATGAGAAACTTGTTCAGAGCTTTCCAAGGCTGGTTTCCAAGGTAGTTCACTCCAAGGCTTCAGGAAGTCTGCACCCCTGGAGGGTAAAGCAGCACATTTTTAAAGGAATGAAGGCTTAAGGAATAGGGCCATCCCTACAGCCTTCTGGACATTGGGCATGACACGGAGTACCAGTGCCCTGAACCAGCCAGACCACACACAAGGTCCCCAACTATCCACTGAGCACCTCTAGTTCCCCTGTACCTGCATTAGGGACTAGTGGCTGTGACATGTGCATGTGAGGGTGGGTGCTGGCTGGAGGAGGGGTGCTGCTGTGTGGATGGAAGGTGGTGTGGCGGAGGGCCCCTGGCTTGGTGGTCTGTAGACTATGCCCAGCTGACCTGCTTTTTACCCTTACCAGGCTATTCTTTGCTGGAGCCAGAGAAGGCCACCTTCCCAGCGTGCTGGCCATGATCCACGTGAAGCGCTGCACACCCATCCCAGCCCTGCTCTTTACAGTAAGGGACCTCCTGCCACTGGCCCCACATGCACCCTCCCTCCATTATACTCAGCTGGGACTTCACACTTTCGCACACACCCTGTCACTCTTCTAATCGGCCCCTACTTTTCCTGGACCTTAGATAGTCTGGCAGATGGATTCACTGGCTTTATTAATATCAAGGGATATAAGGAAAGATTCCAAGTTCAAAATACCTAAAGTCTCAACCTGGCTCATTCTCATGCTCTTACCCCTGGAGGCAGATTGAAGTGACTAGATTCTACCACCTCATAAAGACACAGCACCCCCCTACCTTCCTGGCACCTGTAACAACAGGAGCGGGTGCAGCTGTGGGCTTCTGCTCCTGCCCTGTCACTGAACACCCAGCTCCCCCACAGTTTCTTACCCGAGGGCACTGTGCCAGTCTACTGAGAAATGTCATTAGAATAAATCTGGCATTGAGAGGATAGCAAATAAGAAATACCCTAAAGAGAGGAAGACTGATACACTTTTTCTAGAGAAAAAGAAATTTTCTCTGGGGAAGAAATGAGGGTAAATGTCCCTGTAGTACAACCATCTAAGGAGAGTTAAGGAAAGAGCAAAGACGTGTCCCCAGTGAGTCTTTTGAGTTAATTTTCTTTTCCTTCTGGGTCCTGAATAAAACATTAAAAATGACTTTGGTCCACTGAAGATGTGATCAGAAATCAGGATAACAGAGCTTGGGGAGCCAAAGGCATTGTACACCTTTGGGAAATAGCAGAACGGGCTGAAGGTCATCTTGATCTCTCTGTGGAAGTATCTGATGAAGGCTGTGTTCCTGCTCAGCTTTTTCTCAATTGAGCCTTCCCTGGCTGGAGTCTAGTCACCCAGTAACATCCTCTCAATTTCTTCTATCATCAGGTCTCACAGGAGACTGACCCTTTGATTGGCCTTCACAGAATACCAGAGAGAACAGCATGGCTTGCTCTAAGAGACTCTCAGAGATAACTTTGAAGTTGGAAAGTGACCTCTAACAAGAAAACCTCCCCGGGATGTTATGAGGGTTAAACGCATTAATATTTGCACAATGCTAAGAATAGGACCTGAGTAGGTGGTTGTTGACAGTTTTTTTTTGTTTTTTGTTTTTTTTTTTTGGTAAGAAGAAAAGGAAGGAAAATAAATGAGATGACTCAGCCAGGGCAAAAGGATAAGGGCAAGAACAAAGCTTTAATCTACATTTAATAATCTTCTCAAAAGGCTTTTAAAAAAAATTAGCTTTAGCTATAACTAAGGGAGACATATAAATGAGAACAGGACTGACCCAGAGCCATGTGACACCAGTGTGCCCAGTCCAAGCGTCCATCCTGAGTGGTTAGCCAACTTAAATCCTTTGATTAATTACCCCTTTGCAATGAGAAACAGTCCTGGCAAACTGGCCTAACCTCCTGGTTGTGATTATAAAGTCTGTGCCATGAGACATCCGTTTTAAAATGGCATGGCCCCCTGGGTGGGGAACACAGCCCCTGAGCTGTGAACCTCCTCCAGTCTCTCAGATGCCTTTGTGACACTGATGAGCCCCTCATTTCCCCAGTGCATCTCCACCCTGCTGATGCTGGTCACCAGTGACATGTACACACTTATCAACTATGTGGGCTTCATCAACTACCTCTTCTACGGAGTCACAGTGGCTGGACAGATAGTCCTTCGCTGGAAGAAGCCTGACATCCCTCGCCCCATCAAGGTGAGAGAACCTCTTTGGGGTTCTGGTGTCACCTTCATTTGATTCTAGCTGAGCTGATCATGATAGCAAGGGCTGTGTGTGACAGGACAGCCATTTCCTTTCTCCCCAGGAGATATAACCAGGTAAATGGCAGCAGGGGGATAAAGAGGTTAAATATTCCTTTCAAAACAGCATTCCTGCCAGGGATGTGGCTCAGTGGCATAGCACCTGCCTGGCAAATGGGAGGCCCTGGGTTAGGGTCCCAGTACAAAAAAAAAGATCAAAACAGCATTCCATTGTTTCCCGCCAATCCAGCTGCATTTTCAGGGCTCTCTGATGTTTCCTCCCTGTTCTTCCAGGTAGATGGGTGTCTCCCTCCCAGAGTGAGTTTCTTCACATGTGCCTGTTTAGGTTTGAACTATATGAGATGTGGCGGCAGCTCGAAGTCCCAGCTGCTTGAATCATTTGAGCCCATATTTGATACCAGCCTGGGCAGCAAAGTGATACACTGCCTCAAAAACAATAAATAAATATATTCTAATCATTCCTAAATGGACCTGAAATACCTCCTCTTTTTGAAGCTTTCCAGTTCTCTAGAGAACTTTTTCTTTCTTTTTTCTTTTTAATTTTTCTGAAACACTGCTGAAGATCAAACCCAGAGCCTTGCTCACACTAACCAAGCCCTGTACCACTGAGCTACACACCCAGCCTCCCTTTTTAAACTCCTATGACCCTACATATGCTACTGTGCTTAGTGGACTTAATGATTGCTACAAAAATAATGTTATGATAGGAACTGATGGGATTCGTTAGAACAAGATATACTAGAATACTGAGTTCTTCTGCAGAACAGAAGAGTGATACAGGTCAGAACATTCCTAGAAATAGAGATTTGCTTCTACCGGAAGATTCTTCCAGTTGAAAAATCAAGGGCTTCCCAGATCTCTCAGTTCTCTGCTCGTATTTTCACTACTTCTTTTCTTCTACTCAGAAAACCTGAGAGGGTTGGGCATGCTGGTGGCACTGGGAGACCGAAGGGGAACGATCTTGTGTCGAAATTGAAAAAAAAAAAAAACGCTGGGGATTCAGCTCAATGGCGCAAATGCCTGCCTGACAAGCACAAGGTCATGAGTTTGATCCCTGGTACCAAAAAAACTTTTTTTTTTTTTGGAAAAAAAAGGGCTGGGAGCTAGAGGTTTAGCTCAGCAGTGTAAGTGCCTGCTTGGCAAACTCAGGTCATGAGTTCAATGCCCAGTACAAAAAAAAAAAAAAGGACTGGAGATGTAGCTCATGGAAGACCTTGAGTTTAATCTCAACTACCTTTTTAAAAAAAAGAAGCTTCTGGGCATTGTGACACATGCCTGTAGTCCCAACACTCTGGGAGACTGATGCACGAGAACCACAAATTTGAGCCCAGCCAAGTTTAAAAAATATGCCTGGGTCGTGAGTCCGATCCCCAGTACCAAAAAAAAAGTTTAAAAAATAGGGCTGGGGGTTTAGCTCAGTGGTGTAAGTGCCTGCTTGGCAAACATGAGGTCGTTCAATCCCCAGTAATCCTCCAAAAAAAGTTTAAAAAATAATCATTAGCACATGTTTTTGATTCATAATGAATATAATCATCAGGAGAAATTGGTCCATATCCATATGAATCTTAGTCCTTTTTACTCTCCCTTCCCTTCCCCTCTTCTCTGCCACTGCCCCCGTCTCTAGATTCCCTTCCTAGCTCTACAGAGTCTACCTTCCTAAAATTTTAAAAGGACTAGGAATGTAGCTTGTAGCACTTACCTAGCATGCACAAGGCCCAGGACTCAAGTCCCAGTACTACAAAAAGAAAGATCATTTAACAAGAAAGAAAATCAGAAAGAGAAACGAGGAGGAAGAGAAATTGACAAGGGAAGATGAAGAATAACCTCCCTCTCCTCTGAGAGGGGTGAACAGGGAGGAGAAAGCAGCCCCTAGATCCAGAGGAGGGCTATTCAGGGATCCTCCACACACATGTGGCCAGCAAGGACAGGAAAGCCCATAGAGTTGGTGCTGCTTTCTGAACGATAAAGGCAGGGCCCAGTCTGCTTTAGGCCATGCTAGCTTTCCTGATTTCTTGGCTCTTGGCACGTTCATCTTCTCAATTTGCTTGAGAGAAACAAATCTGGGCTGATGTTGGTGAGAGGGGTGGGCATTGGCTCTGGTGTGCCCAAATGAAGGCCCTGCCTAGAAATGGGTGGGAACCAGATCCAGGTCATTTCCTGCCTGCCTCTCCACTTAGGGTTTCATCAAGGATATTGTAAGCTCTCCCTTCTCATGGCTTCTCTGGCTGCCACAGGCACTGGGCATGGATGCTGAGGCATCTGACCCTACGTGAGAGGGAGAACACAGCAATGAGCGTCTCCTCCCTGGTCTCCATCTTCTTCCTTTCCTGCTATCCAAGCTCACCAACATTCGTTGACACTGTGCCTGCCTCATCAGAGCGTGGGATGTGGGATACAGCTGAGTGAAATGCCATCTTCACCCGCATCCACAACTTCACTTCATCAAGGAAGTGGATGCAGGGGAGAGGGAGCCTGACACCTGAGGTGGTGGGCGCCACATGTAGCTCACAGTGCTTCTGCTCCACAGATCAGCCTGCTGTTCCCCATCATCTACTTGCTGTTTTGGGCCTTCTTGCTGATCTTCAGCCTGTGGTCAGAGCCAGTGGTGTGCGGCATTGGCCTGGCCATCATGCTGTCTGGAGTACCTGTCTATTTCCTGGGTGTTTATTGGCAAAACAAGCCCAAGGGCTTCAATGACTTCATTGGTGAGTTACTAAAGGCTCTGGGTGTCCAGACCCCCAAGGCTGGGATGGGGTGGTCTAGAGAGGGCCCCACCAGAATTAAGATCAAGAGCCCCATCTAGCTGAGCTTTACCTGAATCCTCAGGGCTGTGGAGAAGGAGGCAGGGCAGGAATGGCGACTGCCTTTCCAGACACTGCTGGGGAGAGATTAGTTCACGTTTCCACACAGACCTTAGTCCTGCAAACACAGGTAGCCACCAGTCATCTCCAGGAGTTGCTCCCTGAGCTTGTAAGACCAATATGAACCCAGGAATTGGTCAATGGCATTGAGAAGGGAAAGCTGGGACCTTGGTGAGTGAGGGGTGGCTGACAGAAGATACCAGAGACAGACATAGTTGCCATCGCCTGGAGAGGGAACTCAGACAGGCCCGCACTGCTCTGCTGAGATGGAACTTGGGACAGAAGAACTAGTTCAGCTCTTGGCTGCATGACAGGGCCAGTGGGACACAGCCCTGAGCCGCTTTCTGTGTGGTCGTCTTCCACAGAGTTGCTAACCTTGGTGAGCCAGAAGATGTGTGTGGTGGTGTACCCCATGGAGGAGGGAGACTTGGAGACAGAGGGGAGAAGTGAGGACATGGCAGAGCAGCGGCAGTCTTTCTACCAGCCGGCTCCCACCAAGGACCAAGACTCAGATGGGCAGCTGCAGGCCTGAGACTGCCTGCTCGTCAGATAGCTGCGCCCTGCTTCTTCCCCTTCCTGCCCTGTCCCCCAGGTCCCCCAACACACATACACCGCCTCTGCTTCTGCCCAGCAGGAGCAGGACTTGGGTGTAGGGTATGAGCAGTTACAAACAAAGATACTATCTGTACCCGAAGACTCAGCCTCTCTCCCCAAGGCCCCTTTCAGGCCCCACACAAGGGCAGCCCACACTCTTGAGCATCAGAGGAGAATGGAGACGCCAAGGGGGCCCTGTAGTGCCTCCGCAGGCCCTGCCCTCAGTGCCTCTTAGGAAGCTGAGCTCATTACTGCCTTCCCTCCCCACTGCTGAGCTCAGGAAAGCCTCAGTTCAGAGAGAAGAGGCAGCTACCATGAGTTGGTTGGGGAAGACAGGCTCCAAGGAATCCATCATCACTGAAGGTTGGATGGAGAGACCCAAACCCTCTTTCTTCACCACAAACACAAAAGTAGAGGGGATGCTTCCCTCTGCACTCCTCTCCACCTGTGCCCCACCTCCTCCACCACCAGCCACCTGGGCTCCCTGCTGGAGAAAGGCTGTCTCCAGGACCTCTCCTCCCCACTGAACTGAGGACCACGAGGTGGGAGGGTCAGCAGCTCCCTACCTCCAGCCCTGAGCCAAGCCTTGGGAAAGCTTACCTTGCCTAAACCTAGACTTGTCCCCCGAGCCCCCCTCCAATGTGGTGCCAAAGCTTCCTGAAGCCAGAAAGCCGCCTTACTGTCAGTGTAGTGGATCTCCCCCTCTTCTCCCTCCCTCCCTCTCTTGTCTCCTAGTGACCATACCACTCAGCTCCTCCTCTATCCCCATCCCCTGAGAAGGGGCAGTCACCCAGTAACCCTCTGACCCTGCAGCTGTGCCCCTAAAGCTCCTGTAGCGCCAGCACTGCCGGCCCTTCCTGTCATGCTCTTTCCTCCTCTCTGGACTTTGGTTCGGGGACCAGGTATGAAGGATCCCTGAGCCCTTCAGGCCTGAAACCAGAGCCAAACCAGCCTTAAGTTACCTTCCATCCAAGAACTGGACCTAAAAATACTCCCTTGTTTCTAACCCTCAGGAGGGACGTGGTATTAAATGCCTTCCCTGGGTGGCAGGGTGCTTTCCTGCCCCCACCTCAGAGCTGCCTGGTCCATAATCTGGGTGGCTGTCTGGGAGAGCATTTTCTGAAGACATGTTCCCCTCTCCACTGCTGACCCTCAATAACTGCCCCCTTCTGGTCTTACTGCCCCTCCATCTTTGGGTAGGACGGGAGGGCAGCGGCAGAATGGTGTCCACTTTGGGGACCCTCACACAAATGTCCTCTCTGTAAAATACAGCTTCTGACCTTTTCCTGTGCTCCAGAGGAAGGTGATGGCATTTGTCAGGGCTTGGCAGCCTCCAGCCACACCTGCTGTGCTGAGGACACAGAACCCTTTTATCCAAAAACAGCCCCCCCCCCCATTCTATCTGCTTAAACTGGAACACCCAGGGAGCCCCTCCCAGCCCCAAAGCATCTCCTAGCTTCCCACCTGGCTCACTCGAACCCTCAGTTGGATGCTGGGTTTGGGCTGAGTTGTGGCCCCTCCGAGTAGACACCAGCCAGGCTGGAGGGGGCCCAGAGGACCAGGGGACCATCTTCCTCTTTCCTCTCTTCTCATTCCTCCAGCCTCTTCCCCTCTTGCTATTATTATTATTATTATTTTCTTTTTTGTAAAGTGGATGCCTTACTTTTTGGATAAATATTTTCAAAGCTATTATTTCTATTTCTTTTGGTTTTTTTTTTTAATAGAAGATTGTTTTGGGGAGCAAAATTAGATCCTTGACAATAAACTTGTCATAAGGTTGGTTTAGGTTTTAGAATTTTGTTCATTTGTGGGGGTCTTGTTTTTCTTTTCATGTAATAAAATTTTAAATGGAAATGAAATTAGTGGTCTTCATAATTAACCTGAAACTAAGTCACCAGACATATTAGTCAAGTCCCTACTTGCCACATGCACCTTCCAGGATGGAATTCCTAAAATCTTGAGATCTCTGTACCAGCAGGCTGATCCCGACACTCGGGTCTGTATGTTCAAACAACTACTTCTCATTCTTTCTAAGGGGTCCTGGGGTGTGGCTAAGTTCCTACTCTCTGCGAATCCTGAGAGCCTGAAAATTAACTGGGAAAAAGACAACCACTGGCCAGCTATAGGGGAGCACGCCTGTGGCCCCAGCACTTGGGAGGCTGAGGCAGGAAGATTGTGAGTTCAAGGCCAGCCTTGTCTATACAGTGAATTCAAGGCTAGTCTGAACTGCATGGAAAGACCCTGTCTCAAAGAAAAAAAGAAAAGGGACAGAAAGATTGAGACAGAGAAGGGAAAATGGAGGGGAAGGGAAGAGGACTGGAAATGTAGCTCCATGATAGAGTACTTGCCTACCATGTCTGAGGCCTTCAAAGGATGAAATCATCAACCACTCCAAATGGGATAGCCCTAAACTGAGTCAAGTGAGGTAAAAGCAGGGGCTGGTGTCCCTAAAGCCTGGCAACAAAGCCTTCTTGTGCTGAGGCAAATGGAAAAGGAAATGATGGGCTGCTTCTATAATGAGACTCAGAGGACTGCCAGGTACAGTGGCACATGCCTCTAATCCCAGAACACATAAGACTGAAGCAGGAGTATTTCAAGTTCAAGGCCAGCCTGGGCTAGGTACAAAAGCCTATCTGAAAACAAAGGAGCAATCAAGAACTTTCAGGGGCCCAGGAAGTGAGGCTGGCTCCCTCTGCTGTGCAGAACCATCTGACTGGACAGTTTGGGAGGAAGCCCAGGAGGATTACTGGGCTAGGACTAAGGAGAAAGAAGAAGGCTGAAAGCAGCTGTGCACCTCCTGGTATCTCAGGTTAACTGTTAGAAACAGCTGATGGGATGTGACCCACTACTTCTGTCCCTTCCTTTCTGGGCAGCCCTCCTGCTGCTCCTCCAGAGCAGCAGCAGCCTAAGGCCTGCACTGTTGATAGATGCAGCCCCTGTGAAGACATCGCCCTTCACCATCTGGGACACTATGATGCTGTGGCAGGAGGGTCATCTGCACTGCTAGTCAGGGCCTGGTACCTTCACACCTGCTGTGTGGCTGGCAGCTCACCGTCCCCAAGACCTTGAGTGAGAGGCCAGACGCAAAGCAGTTGTGTGTCTTCGGGCAAGTCGCTTTGTTAGGTTAGGTGAGAGAGCTAGAGATAGAGAAGGACAGAGAGGCTATGAATGACAGACTGAGACCTAATCCAAACAGTTTCCACTCTCTTACTCCAGGGTTTCCCTGAAGGGCAGAGGCCGAGCTTGTGCAGGAGGCTGTACCAGAAGACTCACATCCACCTTTTTGAGCCCAAGCCCAATACACCTGCTCTCCCTGGCCTGCGGGGCCTCCTCCGTGTTGCATGCTTCTAGCAGGCCCTGCCCACTCTAGTGCCCCTCTTTCTGAAAAGCAACACCTGCTGATCTCAACATGGTCAGAGGGGCAAGTGTGAGCCTCCTCTTGGGCAAAAGGCACCGAGCTTTTTCCATCTTAACCCTGCCAGTCTCCTGCTGGACATTTCAGATGCTCTGACCTTCGAGGTTTGGGAACCTTCTGACAGTTACTAACGTCACAGGTTCTCCTTCATCAATACAGTCACTCCACACATCTGTTTTTCTAGCTTTGCTATATGCTGCAGGAATCACAGAATTATTCCTGAATTTTCCAGTTCAGTGCAGACCTCAAAGATTTTTCTGTCCCAACAAAAATATTCAAGCCACCTGTAATCCCAGCAGTCAGGGGCAAGGGATGTAGCTCAGTGGCATAAGTGCCTGCCTGGCAATACAAGGTCCTGAGTTCAATTCCCAGTAGCAAAAAACAAACAAACAAACAAAAAACCCAAAAAACACCCTCAGACCTGCAGTTGGGAGGCTGAGGGAGAAGGATCACCTCAAGTGCAAGGTCCCCAGTGCTATCTACCTAGAGAGAATTCAAGGTCAGGCTGGACTACACTATAAGCAACTGTCTCAAAAAAAATCTAAAAGTATTAATTAGGGCCAGGCATGGTGACATACACCTCTAATCCCAGCACTAGGGAGGCTAAGGCAGAAGAAGTGCTATTGCCTTGAGTTTGAGGCTAGTCTGGGCCACAAAGTGAGTCAAGTTCAGCCTGAACTGCAGAGCAAAACCTTGTCTCAAAAGAAAAAAAAAAATCAAACACAAAATCCACCTGTCCTTAATTATAATTATAATGAAACATGATCTGTACTTGAAAGGATCCAATAAAAGTATGTGACCCTATTCTTAAAGACCAAATAGCCTCTCGGGGGGAAAAAAAGCAAAGATGCACGTGTCACAAAGGTGTGCACTTCGTGGCCTCTCAGGCCACCCTCACCATCTCAGAACCACCTCCTTGTGTGTCTGCCTGGCTCCCCTGACAGCTCTGGTCCCCACAAATCTCCAGACTTAGGTGCTCAGAAATATTTGACAAACTAAGGCATCGTACAGGGCAGCAGGTAGGTGTCTGCTTTAAGATGCAAGTAAAACAGTGAGTGGTCAGGGCAAGGGAGAAAGGAGACCTCACATGTACTGAAACCAGTCACTACACATACATTATTTGATTCGAAGTTTAATTAAACAGCCCTAGAAAGGAGCTACTACTCTTGCCGTCTTGCAGGTAAGATTAAGCAGTTCACCCAAGGTCACTGAGTGGCTAAGTGACAGAGGCCCAGTCTTCTCTGACGTTTCTCTGCCAGGATCAGCCACCTCCCTTTGAGGAAGCCTTGAAGAGGACTGTTGCAAAATCACTCAGATAACCCAAGCAAGTAGCGAGGACAGTGGCCCAGGGGAATGATCCTACTGACTGGAGAAGGCGTCTTTCCCCTTCAAAAGAATCTCCAGTCCTGCCTGGCACTGCCTTCCCACCTCCTTTCCCTCCTGCCCAGAGCCCACACTACTGCTCTGATGTCCACAGGCCCGCTGCCTCCACCAAACCCTCAGTTACTGGCACACACTGATGTCAGTGTGCGTGTGCGGGCAGCGTCAGCCATCCAAGGAAACTAGGGGCCCGGACCACTTATCTCAATATGGCTCAAGTTTTCTCATTTCCTGCTGGCTTTATTTACACATCTCTCTGCTCCCTCCAGCACCCAATTCTCTGCTACTGACGTAGACTGTCCCCTCCCCACAGTGGTCCACTGAGGGTGAAGGAGTTCTCTGAGTCATACAGCAACCCCTGTGCCAGTACTTCAGCCCTGAGCCATGCAGGGGCCCATGGCCCTTCCTGACACCCATAAGGCATCCTCGGGTGACCTTGGACAGCTCAGCCTCTTGGCCTTGTCTTGCCTGTTGATAAAACAGGAATAAAAATACTATTTGCCATGCTGCTTTTCCTACCTAACTCTCAGCGAGATGGTCATCATGGAAAGTGAATGCTACAAGGGGCTGGGGATTTAGCTCAGCGGCATAAGCGCCTGCCTTGCAAGCAGGCAGTTGTGAGTTCGATCCCTGGTACCGATAAAAAAGAAAAAGACAAAAAAGAAAAGTAAATGCTACAATGACTGAAAAATGATTTATCTGAGCCAGGTATATAGCTCAGTGGCACAGCGCAGGCCTGGCAAGCGTGAGGTCATGAGTATGATCCTCAGTACCAAAAAACAACAAACAAACAAAAACACCGATTTATCTGAAAACACCTAGCATTATTTCAGGATCAAAGAGGCAGATGGTGGTATTTCCCCTCAAGACAAGGCCCTGGCACCAACCCTTCCAGTTTACCCACCCTTAGCATAACCTGACTGCAAGCCCCATCCTGGCCCTGCTTCCCTTTCCTTCCTCACGGCCTCAGTCTTAGGCAGTGTCAGGATTGACAGAGATGCCCTCTGCTGTCCATTTTATGCTGAACCACAGCGCCCTTTTAAATACAAATTTTGGGCCAATATTGTCACCTAGTGGTCAAGATAGGCACTGCTGCCAAAGTGAAGTTGTGTGGCCTTGGTACATATTTGAAAAGGTACCAAGATCTGTAATAGAAAGAATCCTCCCAGTCTACCTTCTGAGATCTGTCTCCAATGCATGCAGACCTCCCCACACCAGCTCAGGGGCTCTAAGCATATCTGAGCATGCTTTAAGCTGTGCATAGAGCACCTGGAACAGGTAAGGGAGTAGAAGGATGGAAGGGAAGATGCCACGTAGAGGAGTAACATGCCTGACTGTCAGCCAGTTACATTTGCATCTTTTACTTTAATGTTCAGTGTCACACAGATTCCATCCACATTTGTCCCACTGTGGCTCACTCACAGGGACTCAGCCCTTCGAGTGCCTGACTGATAAAACTATCCAGTGCCCCACAGGGCTAAGAGAAGAGCCAGTAACACATTTCTGTGTATCTTTCTTTTCACTGGACTTACACCCACTATTGAAGATGAAGTTCAATAGATAAAAGTAGGACCATAGCAGGTACCTCTGACAGAAGGGAGTGAGGGGCTCCAAGGAAACAGAAAAGGGAAATTGGGGGTGGTGCAGCACAAGAAGTAAAGAGAAGGAGCCATGGGCTTCTCCTAGAGACCCTAACACAGAACCCCAGAAAGAAGTGATGACAATAGAGAAAGCTTCTCAAACCTACAAGAGGAAGTACGCCCCAGGAGACAGGCTCCGGAGGTCAGAGAACAGCCATGCAGAAGGAAAGACAGCAAGCTGAGCTGCAGCAAGCTCCCCAGCCTGCACAGCAGGGCACAGGAAGTGGGAGGCTGAATCTCAAGCCCAGAGTTGGGGGTGAAGTGCCAGCTTGAGACCTGCAAAACAGGGCAGTGAAGAGAGAGCTGTTGGAGCCCCTAGAGTATAGCTGAGCCCCAGTCCTGAGGCAGCCCATCCATGCCCTGCACCAAGGAAAAATGACAGGGAAAAATGCATTAGGGTCTGGGCTACTCACAGACCCTGTTC